GGTTGTTCAAGCTGTCGCATGACAGAATTCTAATCACCTTCCGAGTCCACCCTCCGTTCTCCGGTTTTTATTTATCTGCAATCGATCACATGCCATTATCATCTACACTCGTTCTTTGACTTCTAAGACAACAGCCACAGTAACTTATGTTCGTTGACATTATAAATGATCACACATGCTTGTACCTAATGATACCGTTTGTTTAATTGGACGTGACGTGACCATATAGTATTTTGAAAATCAGGTCACCTGGATCATGCATCCAGTGATTTGCCAGTCTACTGTGGCTATGATTGAGGCTGCGCGATTGGAGTGGCGTCCCAGCGGTTCCACGTGAGAGCGAGCCGGGAGAAGGGAGACGAGACGCACGTGAGAGAGAGAGAGAGAGAGAGAGAAAGAAAAGAGAGACTAGATTCTGAACTGAGGAGACGTGATCTAGGATATGATATATCCTCCTCGACGAGCGAGGGAGGCTCTACAAGTGCCTGCATCGGCAATAGTAAAGACCAGAAGGTATGATCGATGTCAAAGAAAAACGAGAAAAAGTGTCAGTAACTAAGGAACGGAGCTAAGAGACTCAATATGAAGGGTACACTAAATGTCGTGCAGTTGCGGCAAGAGGTGATCGTTGTTGTCCAAGGTGACAAGGGTTGAAAAGAGGGAAGAGAGTTGGTGAGAGGATCAGGACGGGTGGCTGTGAGGGAACTGACTTTGATTCGTTCGCAGTCGTCTTACGCCGGAGGTCGAGGTGTCCGATGATGATGATGAAGCGATGAGATGAGAGATGAGGCGATGAGGAGGAGATGAATGGCTGAAAGGGTTCTGATGTGGTGACGGGCGCTCCGACGTGGTCATTCCGCTCCGATCCGCGCGCAGCTCCGACGCACTCCTTGCACCAAAACGTCATGGACTAGCCCACCGCGAGGGTCGAACTCGCAGCCTTCAGAATGTCGTCCATGGTGCGACCATGCACCCGCTATAAGAGTCTGACGCTCTATCCGATCGAGCTAGGCGGGCAGCAGTAGATGAACCGAACTTTCCAGCGCTCTCCACACCGGGGAGCGTCCTCGCCGAGGCTAAAAGTATTATGACATTAGGACTATACCACTGACGGGAACCCCGGACGCTACATGTCCTACAATTCATTGTCACTTTTCCAAAGGAGAACAATGAGACGTCCCCAACTCACGTACCTTAAGGCCTTTTCCGTTTTCCTGATGAAAAGTCCACACCCATCGACTGGCCATCGGGATTTGTCGACAACACCGAGCTTTTTGGTGGCACTATCGGCGATGCTGAAACCGGCGGTCGCGGCACACCCACTGTCTCATGGTCTGATTCTGTCGACGACCATGACGCCAAGCTCAATAACGTATGTGCAGCTGACGACTCCTCCGGTTGGGCGCTCTCGGGGTGGCCGATGATGTCGAGCCACATCTTCATCAATCCATCGTCTGCGCTCAGCGATGCACGGTCGGAGCTGGACACTTGCGACGGTTCTTCGGAGATAGATGGTAACGGTTTCGCGAAAGAATGGCTCTTGGGGTGGCCGATGATGTCGAGCCACATCTTCATCAACCCATCCGAGTCGTCTGCGCTCAGCGGTGCATAGTCAGGGTTGGACACTTGCGACGGCCCTTCGGAGCTAGCCGGTAGCGGTTTCTCGACAGCCTTCGATCCATCAGCGGGCCCCGACGGCAGCGAGATCGACGACGGAGGTGAGGCTGACGACTCCTCCGGGTTTGCGAAAGACTGGCTCTTGGGGTGGCCCATGATGTCGAGCCACATCTTCATCAACCCATCCGAGTCGTCTGCGCTCAGTGGTGCATAGTCAGGGTTGGACACTTGCGACGGCCCTTCGGAGCTAGACGGTAGCAGTTTCTCGACAGCCTTCGATCCATCAGCGGGCCCCGACGGCAGCGAGATCGACGATGGCGGTGTGGCTGACGACTCTTCCGGGTTTGCGAAAGAATGGCTCTTGGGGTGGCCGATGACGTCGAGCCACATCTTCGTCAATCCATCGTCTGCGCTCAGCGATGCACGGTCGGAGCTGGACACTTGTGACGGCTCTTCGGAGATAGATGGTAACGGTTTCGCGAAAGAATGGCTCTTGGGGTGGCCGATGATGTCGAGCCACAACTTCATCAACCCATCCGAGTCGTCTGCGCTCAGCGGTGCATAGTCAGGGTTGGACACTTGCGACGGCCCTTTGGAGCTAGACGGTAGCAGTTTCTCGACAGCCTTCGATCCAGCAGCGGGCCCCGACGGCAGCAAGATCGACGACGGAGGTGTGGCTGACGACTCGTCCGGGTTTGCGAAAGAATGGCTCTTGGGGTGGCCGATGATTTCGAGCCACATCTTCATCATCCCACGCGAGTCGTCTGCGCTCAGCGGTGCACGGTCGGGGTTATACACTTGCGACGGCCCGGCTGACGACTCCTCCGGTTCTGAGGGGAAATGGCCCTGAATGAGCTCACGCCACATCTTGTTCAACTCCTCAGCTACGCTCGGCGATGCATGGACCTGGCTGGATACTGGCAACAGCTCTTCGTGGATAGGTGGTAGCGGTTGCTCGACATCCACCGACCCACTAGCGGGCCCCGACGGCTGCGAGCTCGACGACAGACGTGCGACTGACGACTCCTCCGGTTCTGAGGGGAAATGGCCCTGAATGAGCTCACGCCACATATTGTTCAACTCTTCAGCTACGCTCGGCGATGTATGGACCTGGCTGGATACTGGCAACAGCTCTTCGTGGAAAGGTGGTAGCGGTTGCTCGACATCCACCGACCCACTAGCTGGCCCCGACGGCTGCGAGCTCGACGACGGACGTGCTGCTGACGACTCCTCCGGTTCTGAGGGAAAATGGCCCTGTATGATGTCTAGCCATATCTTGTTCATCTCATCAGCTAGGCTCGGCGGCGCGCGGTCGGGGCTGGGTACCGACTGCTCGTTGGAGATAGACGGTGGCGGTTGTCCGACGTCCGTCAGCCCATCAGCGAGCCCCGACGGCTGTGAGCTCGACGACGGACGTGTGGCTGACGACTCCACCGGTTTTTCCGAATCCTCCGGTCTTAAAAAATAGCCCTCGGCGTCCCAGATGATATCGTCCAACTCACCTTGCCGCTTCCCCAATATAGTCATCGCGTCTTTGGGTATGTGCACCACATCGACGCGTGCCTGAAGTTTCTCTTGTACTTGCACAGGTGCCGCGACAGCGAAGTTGATGATGGGAAGGATGAGAAAGATCCCAGAGACTATGTAGTCACAGTATAGATGCATTTTTGTTGGCGTGTGTTGATGGCGTTGCGAGCGAGTATTCAATGTGAGCGCTCGATATGTTCAATTGTCAAAACAAATATTCCAGAGCGAACGAAAGTGAGCTAAAAAATCGCAGGAGGTAGTGAGTGGCGGGTGAAAGTGAAGGGAAAGGCACACGCACTATCCAGTACCCAGTAACGCAAAGTAATCAAGGAGCTGAGAACATGTGGAGTGGACATGAGTTTATATTCGCACGCGCCGACCTTGAAGGCAATGAAGAAAAGGCATTGATGGATGCAATACAGGACAGTGGGTAAGATATGAATAGTTTCGCATCTGAGAAACGAAATCAAGTCGCTTATAAGTTAGCAACTACTGTATGTTGAGTCCGATCATGACGTGACATCCACAGCAGAAAGGCCAGGCAGTTGCGCCGTCCGGCAGACTCGGACCGGCCGTCTCCGAGGACCTTTCCAGCAATGCGCATGTGTTGGCCTGTGATTATGGTGAGAACTAGACCTGTGTACTGTATTCAAAAGCATATAAACTTTCCGACAGTCGGACGTGAGATATTGAGGAGTATAGGGCCAGCTGAGTATCATGCGGATAGTACCTAGCCGTTTCTTTCCAGTTGGACAACAGCCTGCCATGAGTCGCTGTCTTAGGATCTCTCTCTTCAACCGTGATTCTTATTGACTATACAGAATAAAACAAATGCAAGAGAAGTAAGACGATATGGAAAATTTTGACAAGCAGCATCGGATGTTAGTAACAGTTCGCGTCTGCATGAAGAAAATTAGTCATTCCCAAGCATCCAGCGCCGTGGTGGGACGTAGCACTTCCATTGGTTTGTTCAGTGGCAAATGAGATGATTTCGAACTCTACTAATAATGACTGCGGCCAGCGACTGAGTATTTCAGGAAAGTTCGTGTGTAGGCATGAGCGCAAGGACTAGTATATTAGTGTAGATAGGATGGGTGCTGCGAGTGTGGAAGAGTCGTCCAAATAGGGGAGGAGAGAGAGGGAGGGGAAACGAGAGGGAAAAGATCCTCGGCCAAGATCGTGTGGACAGCGGTTCCACCGGACGATCGCCGAGAACTGAAAGGCACGCTAAACGAGAGATGAAAGGAAAGTCAAAACGATAGGATTAGATCGATGGGTAGATAGATCAATCAATGCCCTCCTCGACAAGTAGGAGGGCCGTCTTATATACCTGTGCGTGTGTCTAGTGTCGGCGACCTCGGAGGTGGCTACATAAAAGAAAGTCTAAAATAGGATGAAAAAGGGAACGTACGGCTGCAGCGTGGTGGCGACGTTGTGTCTTGTGTCGAGCGCGAGGCGATAAGAACAACGAGAAGAAATGGAGAAACAACAACACGTGACGGCGGGCGCTCCGACGCGGAAGTCCGTTCCGTTCCAAGCCCAGCTGACACTCCTTACATTAGGATTGGGAAACATGAGGACCGCGTGGCGTCGAAACGGACTTGTCAATTATAATTGTTGATTCCCATCCAACAACCTGAGTACGCAAGTCTAAATCCCCTACTACGTAAAAACATTTCACTTTCATCACAAAGTCACTCCGAGTCCGATCCACTTTACCGTCGAATGCAAGAGAGACAGATCTGATTCGCACGATTCACAGCAAATCGATGATATCAATGATATAATGATACCTTGTCTGCATTTCCCTCGGCGGACTCAGGAGCAGTAACCAGTAAAGCAAAACTTCAAGGGCTAGCCCACCGCGAGGGTCGAACTCGCAGCCTTCAGATTGTCGTCGTCCATGGTGCGACCGTGCACCCGCTATAAGAGTCTGACGCTCTATCCGATTGAGCTAGGCGGGCAGCAGTAAATGAGCCAAATAATGGCTACTGAACCCTGCAGCGCTCTCCATGCCGGGGGGCGTCTACCGCCGAGAGTAAGAGGCTCAAAATACTATGGCATTAGAGACTATACCACTGACAGGAACCCTGGACGCTAAGTAGCCTAAGTTACATGTTCTGCAATTCGTTGTCACATTTATCCTGAGGAGAAAGACGAAACGTTCACAACTTACGTACCTCAAGGTCTTTCCGTTCTCCTGATGAAGAGTCCACACCGCCGCCCATCCACTGACCGTCGGGATCTGTTGACAACAACACTGGGCTTGATGGCGGCACATCCATCTCATGGTCGGACTCTGTCGACGATGCGGAAACCGGCGGTGGCGGCACATCCTCCATCTCATGGTCTAACTCTGTCGACGACCCTGACGCCGAGCTCGATAACGGACGTGCAGCTGACGACTCCTCCAGTTTTGCGCTCTCGGAGTGGCCGATGATGTCGAGCCACATCTTCCTCAACCCATGCGAGTCGTCTGCGCTCAGCGGTGCACGGTCGGGCCTGGACACTTTCGACGGCCGGTTGGATATAGACGGCTTTTTGGAAATATACGGCCTTTTCGGTTTCTTGACGGTCATCGATCCATCAGAGGGCCCAGACATCTGCGAGATCGACGGCGGGCGTGTGGCTGACAACGCGTCCTGTTCTGGCAAAAATGGCCCTCGGGTTGGCCGATGAGGTTAGCCCACATTTTGTTCAACTCATCGCCTACGTTCAGCGGTGCGCGGTCGGGGCTGGGTACTTGCGGCGGCTCGTTGGGGATAGACGTTGGCGGTTCGTGGACGTCCGTCGGCACAGCAGCGAGCCCCGACGGCGGTGAGCTCGACAACGGACGTGTAAGTGACGACTGCTCGATAGACGGTAACGGTTTCTTGATGACCATCGACGCATCAGCGAGCCCCGATGGCTGTGAGCTCGACAACGGACGTGTAACTGACGACTGCTCGATAGACGGTAGTAGTTTTTCGTTGGCCATCGACCCATCAGCGTGCCCCGACGGCTGTGAGCTCGACAACGGACGTGTAACTGACGACTGCCCCGGTTCTGCGAAAAAATGGCTCTTGGGGCGGCCGAAGAGCGTAAGCCACAGCTCGTTCATCGCATCGTCTGGCGGCGGTGTACGGTCGGGGCTGGACACTGGCGACGGATCTTCGGGGATAGACGCTAGCGGTTGCTTGAGGTTCGTCCACCCACCAGCGGGTTCCGACTGCTGCGAGCTCAACGATAGACGTGTAGCTGATGACTCCTCCGGTGTTGTGAAAGGATAACTTCCGGAATGGCCGAAGAGATTGAGCCACTTCTTTTTCGACCCGTCGCCTTGGCTTGACGATGCATGGTCCGGGCTAGACACCGGCAGCGGCTCTTTGAGGATAGATGATGGCGGCTGCATGGCGTCCGTCGACCCACCAGCGGGCTTTGACTGCTGCGAGCCCAACAGACGTGTAGCTGATGACTCCTCAGGCTCCGTTGTTGTGAAAAAATAACTCCCGGCTTGGCCGAAGAGATTGAGCCACTTCTTTTTCGACCCATCGCCTTGGCTCGACGATGCATGGTCCAGGCTGGACACTGGCAACGGCCTTTTGAGGATAGATGATGGCGGCTGATTGATGCCCGTCCACCTATGAGTGGACCCTGACGACTGCGACTTCCACCGCAGATGTGCGGCTGACAACTCATCCGGTTTTGCAAGATAACTCCCGGGCTGGCCGAAGAGATTGAGCCACTGCTTGTTCGACCCATCACCTGGGCTCTGCGATGCATGGCCCGGGCCGGACACTGGCGACAGCTCTTCGGGGATAGACGGTAGTTGTTGATTGACGTCCATCGACCCATCAGCGGGCGGTGGGCTCAACGATAGATGTGTGGCTGGCAACTCTTCCGCTGTTGGCGAAGAATGGCCCTCACCGAAGATCTGAAGTAACAGGTCGTCCACCTCTTTACCAGCCCGCTTCTCCAACATAGTCATCGCGTCCTCGGGTTTGTGCGCCACCTCGACACGTGCTTGAGGTTTCACTTGTACTAGCACAGGTGCTGCGACGGCGAAGTCGATGATGCGAAGGATGAAAAGGGTTCCAAAGACTGTATGGTATAGATGCATTTTGTTAAATGTATTAATATTGATGGCGTTGCTGGTTGAGTCAACGTTAGCGCTCGACAAGGCGCTCGATATGTTCAGTTGTTTAAACAAAAAGTCCAGAACAAACGAAAGCGAGCTATATTAAAAAATTGGAGAAGGGTAGTGGTTGACGGATTAAAAGTAAAGGGAAAGGAACACGCACTAGCCAGTACTCAGTAGCGTAAAGCGAGCAATGAGCTGGAGGAACCATGTGGAGTGGACATGATTTTATATTCGCATGCGCCACGGGCAACCTTGAAGGTAAACAGAAGGCATTGATGGAAACAATACAGGATCGGTGGGTGAGATATGAATAGTATCGCATCTGAGAAACGAGACACTAGCAAGCAGGTTGCAGTGTGGAAGGTCGATGGTTGCTACTGGTCAACGGAATGTTCCGAGTCACGTCACAAAACCCAATATGGTTTGCCGTTAGCGGTCTCGGTATAGGCTCGCTTCGCTAGCTATCTGAACGGTGTGATTTACTGTACTCTAGGGCATGAGTAGCGCATATTGAGCAACCAAATATTACTAAAATCCTCTTGAGCTCGACTTGGAACAATCTTGACCATCAGCAAATGTACAAATTACTTTTTAGCTTTTCAGCAAATCATAATACCCGATATTCTATTGGCTAGGCTAAAACAAAAATTCGAGACAATGGTGATCAATATCAAGATGAACAATAGCAGGCATGCAGCATCCATCATGTTGCAACTCCAGGAGGACAGTCCATCTTTCCCACAACCAAAACGCGGCCGCTGCCGGGCGCGAACAATACACATTCTGCAGGAGCACCACTACGTCTCCATTGCTCACGGACAAAGCCACACGGATGTCGAATAGCATGACCATACCATGTGAAGCGCCCAGAGCAATCTCCTGCCCACTAGTAGATACTGTAATTGCGCGCATCGTCAGTACGTGCGTAACGAGCCCCACACAACCAAAACGAATGTGATTGCAAACAGCATGTGGAGTGTTGCACACAAGCACCATGACATCAGGCTCGTATGCAATACAATCACGGGTATACCCCCATGCACCGCACCCGTGCAGGATTGGGGTACCCACTGTAAACCCGCGGGTTTCTCAAGCAAGGCTACTCGAAACAAGAATACAAAGCCACCTGTGCTGTGCACGGGGAAGACGCATGACGTTCTGAAGTCAACATACGCTCCGCCCGCGTGGGCTTATGAAATTCCAAGAAGGATTAGTCAGCGGCGCAGTGCGTCATAGACGACAGAAGGGCCCCTTGAATGAACGGGAGAGGGAGGTGCAAACGCGCCATCATTCTTGGATTCTTGGCATCTGTAAAGTCGTCACAGACGGGGAAGCCACCTCGTCAGACTTGATGGTCGAGATCAACGGAACGAAACGCGAGAGGTTCATCGGACGACTATCCCAAGTCGGCGATTGTCAGTGAGGGCGAGGGACTGTGGCTAGGGCTCTGGCAGGTGTCGGGCTGAAAGGAGTGTTGTGATCACATCTGTGGGTCACAGGAGGGAAGGAAATAAGGTGGTATTTCGTCATTCGCAGAGTCAACGGATAATGAACAAATCGGGGCACGTACCCATTGACATGCAAGCATGCCTTTGAAGTCATTGCGAGAAATTTGAGCCACTGAGGAACGGGTGTGAACCGCATGGTCTGAACAGGACTGAACGGCAACGAGCGACTCGAGAACGACAGAGGCTGAGCCAGATCGTGGTTGCAATTGAGCTTCTCGCTCGTCCCCCTTAAGTTAGTCGCACCCTCTCATGTATTTATTAATAAGTACGAGAGGACGGACTCCCTCAAATAATCGAGTTCCTTGAGTCTCTCTTTTCTTTTCGTGCACCTTTCCTGTGTGCCGCTTCCGGATTCCCTTCACCACCTGCCCTACGACCCGAACGACGTTGTGCTAACCCAAGCTGCTGAGCCACCCCATGTATTATCTTTGGGTCTAGTGTGACCCAAAGATAATACATGGGGTGGCTCAGCAGCTCGGGTTGGAAAAGCGTCATTCAGGTCGTAGGGCAGGAGCAGGCAGCAGAGAAAAGAAAGGCACGCAGGGAAACAGACAAATGAAAAGAGGGGAAAACTGGATTAGATCGAAGGAGTTCATCCTCGCGTGCTTAGATACATGAGAGGAGCGACTAAGGTAGTTCGGAAAGCAGAATATCAAGGTCTACACATGTCATCAATGCATCAACACCGGCGTGATGCGTGGCACGTGATGGCAGGAAGTGAAACTAATGAGGGTTAACGAACTGAGGCGACGAGCGCGCTGTGGTGCTAAATAGAAATAAAAGTGGTATAGTGTATCGGAGACATGAGAGGAGAGAGTCCTATGTGAGTGCAGGCGAGATCGGCACGGCCGAGTGCGGTCTGTGCGAGCACAGCCAGACTGCCCACTTACACCGCACTACAGCGGCACACCCACCATCTCATGGTCTGACTCTGTCGACGGCCCTGACGGCGAACTCGATAACGGACGTGCAGCTGACGACTCCTCCGGTTTGCGCTCTCGGGGTGGCCAATGATGTCGAGCCACATCTTCATCAACCCATGCCGTCTGCGCTCAGCGGTGCACGGTCGGAGCTGGACACTTGCGACGGCTCTTCGGAGATAGATGGTAACGGTTTCGCGAAAGAATGGCTCTTGGGGTGGCCGATGATGTCGAGCCACATCTTCATCAACCCATGCGAGTCGTCTGCGCTCAGCGGTGCACGGTCGGGGTTAGACACTTGCGACGGTCCGGCTAACGACTCCTCCGGTTCTGAGGGGGAATGGCCCTGAATGAGGTCACGCCACATCTTGTTCAACTCATCAGCTGTGCTCAGCGATGCATGGACCTGGCTGGAT